TCAACTATTCTTCTTTCGCTCGGATTTTCGCCAGAATTCCGGTCTGGGAAGGGAGCACTTGCAGTGACCCTATTCTGGACGCATGTTGCAACGCGGTGTCTCCCGCGAGCACTTGCACGTGCGCATCAGTGTCAGTCTGGTTCTCGGACAATCATGGCTGCCTCAATCGGTTAATTATCTTCAAGTCCGGCTCAGGCGTGCTCTCGCTCAAGGCGCTGAGGCGCATTACCCACTGTCACTTGGGACGCCACTCCCACAACGCTGGGCGTGTTTTCCCGTTCGGCCGCCAACTTATTCTAACCGGTTCTCCAGTCTTTCTGTACATAATACAGTATCTTCTCAACTGTGTCCAGCACCCATTCTTTGTATTCAGGGCCGGGCCTTACGATTGTAGTGGATAGGCTCTGTCCGTGGCTTAAGTTGGCGCGACAGACCGGTCCCAGTGTGACAGATTCGTAATTGACCGGCCAGGCCGATGCGTGAGGTGAATGTGCAATTTCAATGAGGGCAGGCTGGGATTGATGAAACATTCATCGTGGTGAGGGTGGTGATAATGATGGTAGTGGCTGGCGAGGCGTGGAAAGTGTTCTCACCGGTGGTGGTGCTCGCCATCGTGGGGGCTGGTACAGGGGTGGCGAGAAAAAATTGGTGGAGGCAGCAGGTGGAATTGCCCGGTTGTTGTCGCACTGGGCCCCGGGAAGTCCCACGAGGTCGATCCCTGCGCGAAACGTTCGTCGGCAGCGTGGGCATGTCAGATAAGGTTGGTGTTTGCATTACGGGTCGGGGACGCTTATGACTTGCAGGCCACATTCTTGGCTTCGGCAGAGGTCATCCGGTTGGTTTCGTGGATTATTGCTTTATTTTTTACTGCTCTTCTGCAGACAGGTCGGTCCTGGGAGAGGTCTTTCAACTCCTCCGGGTTGATTTACAGTTTATTGAGAGAGGTATTCAAAGTGTTCTTATGACGTCATTTTCGTCTTTATCGGTGAATATTCGTACCGACTTCTCTATAGATGAGTCACTTGGGTACTCCGTCATCGCCCATCATCAATGGGTGAGCTCTCCATCGGATTTGCAGGTGCCTTAGAATTCATGGAGGCTTATGATTCTGGCCCGTGCCAGAAATCCCGTTTCGGGATCCTGTCTTACCACATCAGCATTAGTATTCTTCTCAGACAGCTGAAGTGTAAGTGATTGCGTTTTCTGGCTTATTTTGCACAGGCCACCCATGTCTTCGTCTCGTTTAATAACGTTGTCAGGACTACCGCCATATATTTCTTTAGTTTCGTGCTGAGTCTAATTCTGTGTCGGTTCTAGACGGAGACCTGAGGTCGACCGAAAGGCCTACTGACTTTGCAGACCGGGGTGGCCACTTCGTCGTTTATTTTTGTATTTTTAAGATGGCGCTGATTAGTTAGGCAAACTTTTCCACGGTTTTCGATCGGGTACCGTTGGCAGCGGTGTGAGGAACGGTGTAATCAGTTTTGGGCGACTGCTGCTTTCTGAACACCGTTTTTTCCGTGTTGATGTTCCGCCTGAAGTTAGCGCGACCGGAGGCAAGGAAACTGGTGCTCCATTGTACATTCGCGTTTGTCTCAGTAGTAAGCGCGCAGTCATCCTCAAAGAGCAGGATCTGGAAACTGGTCGTAAAGAGACGCGTTGGGCGTGCATCCGCCGACTATCGAGAGGATGGTCGTCGGCAAAGTAGGATGCGGGCCCAGGGCGCTCATGGCAGCAGGCGTCTATCAGCCTCACAAAGAACACGAGTCTCACGGGAATGAGAGCGAGTACGCAGCCCCGTTCCACTCCGTTTTTCGTTGAATATGTCCCTGAGAGAGTCCTGTTTTCCGTGTGACGCACCATCATCCCACTGTGGAGCTAATGCACCATGTGCGTAAGCTGTTCAGAAAATTTAAATTTCTGCATGATTTTCCACAGTCCATCGCGATTCGCCGTGTCGAAGGCTTTCGTCAGGTCCACAGGGGTAATGTAAAGGGGATCCGCGTTTCCTGACATTTCTTTTAGCTGCTGGGAAGCTAAGACCATGTCAGTGGTTCCGCGATGACCCCGGAAGCCACGCTGACTTCCCGTCAGAAGGTTCCATTCGAGGCGACTGCTGAGACGGTTTAGGTGGATGTAGGCGAAAATCTTCCCGGCGATGTTTAGCAGCGAGATCCCACAGAATTGCCGGCCCCCTTCTTGCCTGTAGAAAAAGAAGTTGCTCGCATCAGTGAAATCCTGGGAAACTTATCCTTGACGCCACATCTCCTGGAATAGCGTCACAAGTTTGTCCATCAGCCGGGGGTCGCCGTGCTTGTAAACTTCAGTCGGGATCGTGTTAGAGCCTGACGCTTTCCCGCTGGATAGTTGTTGCATAGCTCAAATGGTTACAGGGAGGTAAGACGGGAGGTCCAAGTTGTTGTTCGTTTCCACTTGGGGGCCGGTCGATATCGGCGCTGGAGATTGTGGATGGGCGGTTGAGGACACTTCTGAACTGCCCGGCCCAGCGCTTCAGAATTTACAATTTTTCAGCGAGGAATTTTGCTTCGTCAAAGCTGAGGAATGACGCAGTTCCTATTGTCATGGAGCCTTCGGCCGCCTTGATTTATGCGAAGAATTTCTTTGTTTGCTTGTGATCCGCATATCCCTGAATTTCCTCTGTCTAGCGAGCCATCTAGGCGTCCTGCATCTCCTGCAGTCGTTGCTGTACAAAACGGCAAAATCTAAAGAAAGGCGCTTTGTTTGCGTCGGTCTGACGGTCAATGTAGACTTTATGCAGTCCGTTCTTTTCAGTGAGCAGTTCGTTGTTGTCTGCATCGTCGTCATCAAACCAGTCCTGGTATTGACGACGGGCGCGCCCAAGGACGTCCAGGGTAGTGGGGCGCATATCGTCCAGCAGTTCACACCATCGAGTCTCCACGGTGGAGTTTTCATTTGGACCTTGCAGGTCTTTTAATCGCTGGGTCGGTGGATCGCTGAAATCAAAGTTGTGTGCAGGCAAAATCATCAGAACAGTATCTAACTTACCTGGTGGTCGCTTACCTTGTCGTCTCCTGAGAGGCTGCAGTCTGAGCCTCATCCTCGAGATGACAAGGCGGTGGTCGGTCCAGTCGTCAGCACATGCGCCCACAGAGTCGCGGCTGCCCATGCGCCACTTGAACACGCCACTTCCCTGCGAATGCAAAATAAGCCACTTAAACAGCACCCCTCGACAAATGCAACATGCCGACTGGACACCACTTCGGAGTACTCCGCACATCTACAAACACAGGTACCACCACTGTCTCGCAGACTCTCAGGCATGACTGGACGCAGTCAACACCAGCGCTGGCTTCGCCAGCGGCCATTGCTACCTGAGAGGAAAAAGCAAAGTTCTGTATACAATAAATCCCTCAGTCTGATGACTTCTGTCTTCTACAGCTCGCGATTTGTCCTGATGATTGTAGCGTTCTGAGTACATTCTCACGGCTTAGCCGCTACAATCTTGCCTCCGGACGAGAACATGGTTCGGTGGCTGTCAGCGCCGCGATTCGAAGTGCATCTTGATTGCCTTCTCCTGCGTCATAATGCGGAAGAAGGTGTTGGTCAGGAGCAAGCTGTGTTCTTTGCAGGTTCACAGGAGAATGTCGTTTTCGTTGCGGGTGCCGATGCCATGTTGGCCCAGCACTCCCCACCAGGCAGCGTGGTCTGTCCTGACGCATGCATTAAATTTACCAGGGCCGACCAACTTGCCCGCCTTTGGAGCAGTCACCAGGATTGCGTGTAGTTCTTCGCGCAATTTGTTCCCCATTTCGTGGCAGTTGGTCATTGGGGGAGCGTGAGCGCTGGCAGTGGTGATGAAATTGGTTCTAGAGGAGGCAGGCGTAGAGTCCTGGGGCGGTGGTTGAGGCCCCGCGACAGACAGGGTGGTCGTTCCTCCCACTGTCAGTCACTGCACGGCCCTACTTGACCACGTACTCATCCAAGAAACCCTCCGGTAAAACGCCGTCGGTTAAACCCCGTCACTACATATCGCCTCACCAGCACATACACCAAATAGGAACCCGTCCCTCACATGCACAGAATCAGCACCTCTCACACAAGTGAAAACAGTGGTCTTCGATTCCGTTCGCGTTACTGTTATATTACATGGGAATCGGTCAACATGCTTAAAAAAATTCGAGCTAAAACTGGCGGTAATGACTTACCCATTGACTTTGTCTATCGACAGTAATTGTGCTTCTGTCGTTATTCGTTACTCTCCTCCAAACCAGGCGTCTGCATGGTTGTCAATCCTGTTCTAAGACCAGGCCATCGCTCCAATCAATGTTGTGTTAACGTTTCTCAAGATCTTTACTCGATGCTGAGGCACTTGAATGGATTATTCCCCTACGCCTGCCAGTCCGTATTGTCTCTGCTGAAGCTGACCACTAGCAACAATATCGCCAAAGAACGGTCCGTCAGCAAGCCGTTGATCTGGAGGCCTCCGAGAAATCTATGCACGTCTTTACGCCATATAGATGATTTGGGAACCCGCCCAGTCAAAAGTATACGCGCCTCCTGAATCCACTCCTTCGCACATAAATTCTGGTCCTTCGAGAAATTCCTAGTAGACTAGGTTGAACTTCTAGGCTTGCAGAAGTAAGAGCTCCAGGCCTAAGCCTTGCCTCATAAACAACGTAAGATGTCAGGCAGCTTCGTAGGGTTGTCAGTGTTTCGGCCAGTCCACGTTGAATCGCACAGTCTACCGAGAATCTTCCTGGATTTAGAGACTGACCTAACACACGTTGAGAAGAAGCAGATGCGATCGCTGGAGCAAGGAATTTACTCACCTGACGCTTTGGATTCCCTAAGGAACCTATCATCAGAAAAAAACACCGAGAATTTTGATATTCCTTTATCTTGTAGAATCGCAAATAAAATCTGAAAGATCCGGCCCCTGTAGATGGTGATGAGAGCCCATATTTCCAGTACGTTCTTCCGTTTGCCCTCAGTGACGCACCCAAGCTCAGTCACAGATGGTTCGTGTCGGCATTTGTTCGCCTGTATTGCGACGAGTACGAAGTCGAGGGAGGCCGGAGAAGTTAAGTGACAGAGTTTCATGCTTCTGGACAAAGAGATCTTCCCCCAAACCCTCGTGTTACAGTTGAGTTAAGACTTCACTTGCGCTACTTTCTGTGGATGACCGCTTGTTATTACTGTTAACATCATTATTGCTCACAGGTCAAATTATCGAACTTAGGGGGGGGGGGCAGTGAGAATATCCCGCCACTTCTCTTCTCAGTGACCCACGAAAACTTCATATCAAGCGTACAGTAGCGTCTAAGCAGTATGTGAATGTGAGCTCGGAGCACTACAATCCTCAGGCCGAACCCCAAGACAGGGGGGTTTTGATTGCATGCAGAACCCTGATTTGTCCTCTCAGGCGACAATGGCCGCTGGCGAAGCCAACGCTGGTGTTGACTGCGCCTAGTCATGCTTGAGAGTCTGCGAGACAATGGTGGGACCTGTTTTTGTAGATGTGCGGAGTAATCCGAAGTGGTGTCCAGTCGGCATGTTGCATTTGTGGAGGGGTGCTGTTCAAGTGGCTTATGTTGTATTCGAAGGGAAGTGGCGTGTTCAAGTACCGCATGGGCAGCCGCGACTCTGCGGTGACGCATGTGTGTCGGATTTGAAGTCGGTCGAGTTGCTGAGAGTCAGTGCGCCTGGAACCGCCCGCTGCGAAGATGAATGACTCTAACGCAACGGGGCCCTGAACAGTGACGCTAGATATACCATAATGGCTGTCGGCAACAGTACCATGGCATTAATAAAGTGACATTTTGTTACTTGTTTCCCGCCTGAGACGGTCGGCTTAACCTAAACTGCGAGATTTCTTCAGCAGTGTTAAGTAGGGTTTTATCTCGATAGTATTCGACTATACTCGTTGACACTGTGCCTGTGTAAGTAAAAAGGGCCGTATTTTTCTATGTACACTTGTTCTATCTTGCCACAATATTCAAAGCGGCTGGCTCCAATCCCTTAACAAGTAAAAAGCACTACTTTTTACACTTCCGTGGTGACGATGTTGTCGCTCGCTGTTTTCGTTCATAGAAGTTAGTGAACTGTTCATACCGTCATCCCAGACATCGGACTCGGCTTTGGCTTCCAGTCAACTGTGGCTTTTTTCCCCAACCAAGTAAGTATAGGCAGGTGGGAACATCCTGAAAAAGCTTCGCGCGGACATCCTGCATCTGGAATGTTAATAAACGCTGGGTCAGGCGGTTTGAGGTGATTGGCAGCAAATTTAAGATCAGCCGCGAAGCTTTGAGCGTCCTTCTGGATACCAGGAACTTTCCTCTTTACTCCATGTTTAGGGTACCCCTGAATTTACGTAACTTTGCCATTCAACTAAGAATTCTGCGAGACTTGCTTTTACGAGTATTCAGCAGTGCCCGACAAAATCACATTTACCATATCACCGTATTTGAGGGCTCTTCGTCATACTAATGTCCGGCGATGGGCTACCCTGCGATGACGTAGACCACGTTGGCTCCTTCCTCTTCTGCCCAGAATTGAAAGTCCAAACGAAGGTGACGGCTAGCTGTAACCTTTCCTAAGAGGACTATCCTTTCATCTGGTATCCCGTGATTTATTGTAAAAGCAAACTTGAATTTGCAGAAATTTCCATGGAAGGATCCAGAAGACTATTTGACGAGCATATGCGGACTTTCGACAAATTCTTGTTCGAGAGGGAACAGGGAACAGGGCACAAACAGAGCGTGTGGGTGCTGAGACAAATCGATTGCAGTTCGTCTTTTCGTGCAAGTAGAAGGTGGGATTAGGGGAGAGGTAAGGAGGGAGTGAGTTAGGAGACAGTGAGGGTTGGGGGGAAGAGGGAGGACACCAAGAAGTGC